GATCACCAGATATCTGGAAATAAATGAAGAAAGTGAAGAAAAACAGTATCTTTTTTTTAAGTTTAATTTTATTGAGAAATAATTTACAAATGATAAAATATGCTGATTTTAACAGTTAGTATGTCCTAACAAAAGTATACACTCACATAACTGCTCCCTTGATCTAGAAAACATTTCCGTCGGTCCAAAAAGTATCCCTTGCCCTTTTGCAGTCAACTTCTCTACCACACCCCAGGAAATCACTGAGATTTTTAAGACAGTCTTTTTTTTTAATTTCCTTTTGAGTTAGCCTTATTATTTTATTTATATATGTTTTTAAGTAAGCTCTACACCCCACGTGGGGCTTGAACTCACAACCTGGAGATCAAGGGTCACATGCTTTACCATCTGACCAGCCAAGCACCCCTAAGACAATCTCTTTTGAAGAATGAGTACATATCCTTTGAGGGAAATTTACTTTCTAATTTGCCTTTTGAAGGTATAGTTGGATTCCCTTTTAGATTGAAAGTCCAGGATGTACCTTATCCCTTTGACTATACTCTGGAACATAACAGCTACATCAAGAAGCTAAGTAAGTCAAACTTAAGAGAATTACTAACTTCAACTAGGGTTAGGTAAGTTCAAGACTTAGGGGAGGAAATCTAGCCAATTCGCTATTAAGACATCTTACCTACTGGCACAGAGATCTTTCTCTTCTTGAAGTTTGGCTTAAACACAAAGCAGCCCTAAAAAAAAATGTAAGAAAGAAAAAACATAAAGTCAAAGTAGCCAAGGAACAGATAAATCTCATTAACCAAGTATTTTATGGATAAGCAGATTTTTTAAAAAAAGGCATTTCTTTAAAGTGCTAAGAAATTCTCTTCTATCTGAACTATAGCAGGAAAATTCTTTTTTTAAAAAGATTTATTTTTTGAGAGAGAGTGAAAGCAAGTGCATTGGGGGGGGGAGGGTGCGGCAGCGGGAGAGCCAGAGAGAATCCCAAGCAGCTCCCTGCGGATCCCGGACAGGGGGTTCAATCCCAGGACCCTGAGATCATGACCTGAGCTGAAATCAAGAGTCAGAGGCTTAACCAACTGAACCACCCAGGCACCCCTAGCAGGAAAATCCTTAAACAACAAGGGGACTATCCATTTCTTTCTCCTCCTTCCCATGAGATGCGCATCTCATGATTTTGCTCTTAGGGACCTAATCTAAGAGACAAAGAAAATATAAGCTGATGAAATTTAAATCCAGAAAGGTTCCACTTTTATAAAACTTAAAGAACATTAATATTATTCATTAAAACAAAGATCAAAAATAGTGACACTCTCTCATTTCAAAAGAAGTCTTTATTATTTAATTAACCGTCAAGTATCTATAACCTGGTCAGGAAATAGGTAATTTGGCTATTGTTTCATTTTATAAACCTTTCTTCATCTGATGAATGTCCTACTCATCTGCTCTGGGAAACCGTCCCCAGTTCTCTAGTTAGAATTATTCCTTTCTCTAAGATCTCACAATACTTGAATGCCTTTATTTCTGTTTTAAATCACTTTCACTGTGTATCATAGTTATTTACGGGTCTGTCTCACCAAGTAGTTTGTGCGTGCCTTCAGAGCACAGACTGCATATAATTCACAATTCTTTCCTCAGTGTCTAGGACAGGCGTTAGCGCAATCAGTATATGGAATGAATGCTTGCCAAGTAATTTTCCTGGTAATTTCCTAGCTACATTTAGTTTCCTGTTATTATTTGACTGGTGATATATAGTCTCCAAGTTACTGGTCCTACGTTTATTCTACCAATCCTAAAGCCATGCACCATGCACAGCTTCTTAAAGACCCATTTTTATGGAAAATGAAAGAATGAAAAAAATATACCTAGAAAAAGTCATCTCAGGACAGTGCTAAAGAAAGCTGTGCAAATATAAAGTGGCCATTTGGATTACGTATCCAAAATAAGAACTGTGCCTTATACTCCTGTATCTGCAACTAGTGAACTGCTGAAATACACATTCACATTTAGAAAAATCCTGTAGTACCACAACAAGCTTGTCATTGCCTCCCTTCTATATCCACCTGCAATTCAGTAAAGGAAAAGGAGCTATGAAGGAGTGAGATATACAAGTGCCCAGAATAGATCCTAATGTATGGCAGGTAGTAATATGGTTAACCACTTTGAACTGCTGATCAAATCATGGTGTTTGAGATAGAAGCAGTCTAGAAGGAGAGCTAAGAGGTAGAAAATATGACACGGAAAAGGAAGCTTACATAGGTTTAAAAAAAAAGCATGCAGTTCTATGAGCTCCTGAAAGTCCTTAAAGAATCTTATTAATGCAAGGTCCCCTTCATAATCATCTCAATACAAGCATTTCTATTATAATGCTTTCCTGAACAAAAGCTCACAATTCTTCAAGATATACAAAAATATGAGCCTTATGCAATGAAAAGGATTAGAGGGCAGACCCCTCAAAACCTATGGAACTTTACCACCAGCACAAAACAAAAACAGTACCAACCCTAATAAAAAATACTAGTATGAGAGAACTGCAACTACCTCCCTTTTGAACTCAAACTTTCTGATTAAGTTCTTCTTTCCAGCTTATCTCACTTTTTTTTTTTATTTTATTTATTCATTTGAGAGTGAGCAAGAGAAAGCACACGGGGTGGTGGGGGGGTGGGGAGAAGCAGACTCCCTGCTGAGCCGGGAGGCCGACATGGATGGGGCTCAATCACAGGACCAGGAGACCATAAGCCAAGCGGAAGACAGATGCCTAGCCACCTGAGCCACCCAAGCGCCCCATCCAGCTTATCTCTTAACTCAGGCAAAAGATCCTTGGCGCACAGCTTCTCCTGATGGGAACCGAAATTAACCCCTCAAGCAGCAAGGACTGTCCGGAGCCAGCAAGACCCCCGCCCATGACTGACTCCAAGACAATGATCAACCTGACCCTTTCTGCCCTCCTTTGTCCCACACTTTCCTCATATAAACCTTAAGTATTTTCAGCACTTTGGACACAGTCTTTAAGACTCCAGGCTGCTGTGTTGGCTTCACTGAAATAAATTCCTTTTGTGTGTGTGTGTGTGTGTGTGTGTGTGTGTGTGAGTAAAGCAACTGAAGTTTATTAAGTGAAGATACAGAAAAAGCTCTCAAGAGTGAGAGGAGTCCCAACAGGGCCTTTAGGGTTGGTCTTTTACAGAAAGCTAACCAGGAAACTTAAATCCATTTAACATCTCTATTGATAACACCTTCAATGGCTTACTTCCTTTTTAGGGGCTGGTTAATTCTTTGTTGGCCACAGGTGATTATCATAAAGCACCCACCGCCCCCCCACACACACACAACCCACCCTACCCTGCATGCCTAGGGCAGGGTGGTCCCCCACACCGCTCCTTTCTTGTTTCACTACCACTCATTTCTCCGATTTAGGATTTTGTCAGCAGGGAGGGGCTGAAGCTGGTCTGTTTGGGACCCCTGGAGCCAGGTGCTCTTACACCCCAGTGCCCGGGCTACACAAGCACAGTTAAACCTCTTCTGGCATTTGCACCTAGTATCATAGTCAATCTTCTACAAACTTAAGCTCTATGGCTTGAAGTTTCCCTTTGATATGTAGTCTCAGAAGGCACTCCTTCCCATAATTTTAGTTTAATTTTAATCAAAATTAAATACCAGATCCATGGTAGAGCCTTCCAATCTACTGTTTTAACATAGGGAGAAATGACTTTGCAGTTTTTTTCATCTACGTTCTCAACTTTATCACAGCTTAACTTCAGGGGCTTCTGGCTGTACTCATACTACTACTAAAGGTCCTACTTGGTCTGTAGCAGTATGTACAATAGAGCTTTTGGTAATGAAGGAGAAATATGTCTCTGCACTAATATGGTAGCCACCACATGTGGTTATTGAGCACTTGAAATGTGGCTAGTAAAACTGAGAAAATTTCTAATTTTATTTATTTTAATTAAAACTGGAACAGCCACATGTGGCTACTGGCTACTTAATGTACATTAGACAATAGAGCTCTAGGGTTTATCTTCTTACCAACCACATTATCATGTCTTCCTGCAAGCCGTAGCCATCTAGGCAGCCCATATGAGGTCTATGGGATCTCCTCTGACACACACACACCTACACTACTTTTTCATTCTCACTTTTCACAACGCTTCCTCTGATTATACTGATATTTCAACTTTTTTAACAGGTCATTTTATTTCTATCTTCTGGGCCAAAGAGCATGTCATTCTCTATGCTAGAACAGTCTCCCTACCCTCCAATCCTTTGCCTAACTTGTACTTACTTTTCAGGTCTCAGCTAAAATGTCCCTTTCTCCAAAAGACCTTCGCAGACCCGGGGCAATCTGCTAACACTTATCACAATTTGTTATCATCAGTTCATCTTTGTTAAATGCCTTTTTTGAGTGCAGACAACTGAACCTATTTTGTTTACCACTCTATGTCGTACCTAACGGAGTGCTTGGAGCACAATAAATATTTATGGGGAAGAAAAAGGAACGGAGATTGGAGCACATCCTCGGGGAATTCGACCTCCACAAACCAGAACTTAAAAGTCCTCCCAGCCAAAACAACTAAGGCAGATCGGTGTCTTCGCTCCCCGAGCAAAACTGATCTCAACTGCACCTGGAGTAAGGACGCTTCAGCTCAGCCCGCCACTCCCTCCCCTCGAGCCTGTTCACTGAGGCCTACGTAACCTCTGCTACATCCCTTTTCCCAAAAGAGAAGGAGGCGACGGCTGAGTCTAGTGGGCGTCCGCGCCCCCCCCCCCCCCCCCCCGTACCTTGGACACCGAAGAAGTGGCCATGGTCCCAACGGCCCGCGGGACTGCAGCCGCACTCGGGATTTCCCGCGCTCCCTCGCGGCAGCAGGGCAGAGGTTAGTGGTGGGCCACGCGGCTTCTTGATTGGTTGGCAGAATCCTCCGGGGCGGGCTTCCGGCGCGCATAGGCGGGGCGTACAGAGGGGGGCGGGGCGAGGATCCGGGCCGAGCGGTTGGGGCGCGCGCTGCGTGGAGGCGGACATGGCTTGTGGCTTCCGCAGGTCCATCGCTTGTCAGGTACGGACCCGGGAGCTGGCAGAAGGAAGGCCCGAGGGGAACCCCCACGCCGGGTCAGCCCTCAGTCAGCGAGAGGGGTATTCCATGAAAACCCTGTTTCTGCCGCCTCCTGCCTCCTCTTTGGAGCTGCTCGAGCTGTTGAGGCCGACCTGTTGGAGGGTCGGCCATGCGACCCAAATCGGTTTCTCAAGGTGAAAAGTAAATCTTGGAAAGCAAATGTTGCTTCCCTCCTTCCCACGCCACAGCTTTGTATGCTTTATCCTACTGGAAAGTCATTGGGCCATGATTAGAACCCTTTAGAAATTAGTGTTCCTTACACTTAGTGAAATTGATTATGGATCTGAATTTTCATTCGAAAGGATCTAATTTAAAATCTGGTCATTTGTCTTTCAGTCGTTTTTGCCTCCTGTCCTAGCATTATTTTTGGAAACTCCAAAGATAACGTGAGATGCTGTTTTTTCTAGATTCAGAGTCCTCTGTGTGAACAGCTGTGTAATAAGGAAAGGAATAAAACACTTCAACATTAGATTTCAGCAAAAAGAATTTTTTTTAAAGATTTTATTTATTTATTTGACAGACAATGAGAGAGGGAACACAAGCAGGGGGAGTGGGAGAGGGAGAAGCAGGCTGTCCGCGAAGCAGGGAGCCCGGGATCATGACTTGAGCCGAAGGCAGACGCTTAAGGACTGAGCCACCCAGGTGCCCAGCAAAAAGAATTTTTGAAATTCATCGACGCCTTTTGGAATTTTGCAACGAAACTTTCAATTGTCTCGACAAACCCATTTCCTTTTTATTAATGGACATATTAGTGGACGTATTTTGCCTGGTATATAATTTCCCTCAGTTCATTTTTATAGTATTTCTGGACTTTGGGAAAATTCCTCTGCCTTGTCTTTATGTTTATAGACTATTGCCCTGTCCAACGCTGTATTCTCAGATAACACCAATGGACCTTCTGAAGAACAAAGCTGAGTTTATGGTTTACTGGGTAAGAAAGAACACCTCAGCAGAGTTTTGGTCATGTCTGGGAAGGCAAGGTCTGATTTTTCCTTGAGAATTTGAAGTATGGTTTAAGGCTGGTCTTTCAGTGGCAGAGGGTGAGAGGGCAGGGGTGTGGAGGAGATGGCTTGATTGAGATTCGATACTGATCTTCACAGTTTGTTTTTTTTTTTAAGATTTTATTTTTATTTATTTGAGAGAATGAGATAGAGCATGAGAGGCGGGAGGGTCAGAGGGAGAAGGGAGCCCAATGTGGGACTCGATCCCGGGACTCCAGGATCATGACCTGAGCCGAAGGCAGTTGCTTAACCAACTGAGCCACCCAGGCGCCCTGATCTTCACAAGTTTTACGATTGGGAGAAAGAAGGCAAGGTAGTGCAAGGAATCTTAGGGTATAAACTGTTGGTGTGTTTTTTTTTGAAGAATTGATTTTTCAAGAAGTTCCTGTAATGAATAATCAAGCTATTTGGGCAGGAGTCTCCTAGAATAGTAAAGTTATGCTAATGAAGACAAAGAAATAATAAAGTCATGCTAATGTAGACAGTAGGCTATATCCAGGGTAGGTAGTTTTGGACCTCAGTGTCCAGGATGTGTTTGGAGTGGGAGAGGTAAGATGATTTCCATTCTCAACCCGTAGGTCAAGATAATGCCATGACCAGAAACATTGTGTTTAGTTTTGCAAAGGCTGTATTCTTCCTTGTAAAGAAGGTAAGTTGGAGAAACAGGAACTAATATGTAGTGTGTCTTTGTGCTAGTTACTTTACATTCACATTTAAGCCCCATGATGAACCTATGACATAGAAGTATTAACCTTATACAGTTGAGCAAACTGAGATCCAGAGATTAAAAATCTGCCTTAGGCCAGGGTCTACACATGGTCAGTAAATTGAAGAGTTGGTTTATGAACAGGGGTCTAAATTCAAAATCAGCCCTTTCCTATACGCTGTGCTATCTGTTTCTAAAGGCAAGAAGCACAATCTGATCATTAAAACAGAATCTGGTAGGTTTGTATGGCAACATAAACTAAGCAAATATATATTTCTCCAAACATGGAGTCGTTGAAGGATGATCTGAAATAAGGTTAAATAAAAATATGTGCAATACATATCTTTATGAATGAGGATCCTTTGCTAGTTTAGGAGTGAAGGAATGTATTACATGAAATAGCACATTCAGCAAATTTTGATAATGAATCTATATTTTTCTAAGGAGTCCCATTATCAGTCCCAAGGTTGAAAGTGAATAGAATATGGCTTCTGTCCTGGCATGGCTCTGGACTAACTTGGGGAAACACATGTATAAACAGCTAATTACAGTACAGTCTGTAACCAGTGTATTAGAAATGTGTGAGGTGTTAAGGGAATATGGAGAAGACAGCTTCCAAATGTCAGGGAATGCTTCGTGGAAAAGGTAATGTCCTGAAGGAAGGATGGATAGGAGTGTACTAGGTGAGTAGGGTGAGAGCTTGGGGAGTGGTAGGGTATTCCAAGAACATCATATGTATGGACAACAGAACTATGGGAGAGGGCGCCTGGGTGGCTCAGTTGGTTAAGCAACTGCCTTCGGCTCAGGTCATGATCCTGGAGTCCCGGGATCGAGTCCCGCATCGGGCTCCCTGCTCCGTGGGGAGTCTGCTTCTCCCTCTGACCCTCTTCCCTCTCGTGCTCTCTCTCTATCTCATTCTCTCTCTCTCAAATAAATAATAAAATAAAATCTTTAAAAAAAAAGAACTATGGGAGAGCATGGTGTATGTTCATGGAACAACAATATTTGGATATGACAAATTTAGAGTATGCCTCTTGGGCCTCACTTCAGCAGGTCCTTTGGACTCTATCTTCAAAATACCTTGAATCTATCCATTCTTTTCCATCCCTGTTGCCTTTCCCTTCAGTCACCCCAAACCAAGCTATTATCACCTACATCATCTGCATACAACAGCATTCTGATGGGTCTGTTTCCATCCTTGCCCTCCCTCAAATCCATTCTCCTTATAGCAAGAAAAGTGACTTCTCAAATGTAAAATCATGTCACTTACCTATTTAAATAAACTACATTGCACAAACTCTCTACCAGAACCTTAACATCTTTCTTTCCAACATCCATTCATACCACCCTATTCTTCCTTTCTGCAGGATCCTAGCCACACTGTAATTTTGCTTTTCTAACAAAGCAAGGTCTTTCCATTCCCATTGCATAGATATTCCCTGTGCCTAAAGGAAATGATTTTGTATCATGACCCTTTGTGCAAGATGGAAGTTTCACAAAACAGTACTTATAATGTGTGTGCATTCTTTTCTACGTATACTATATTTTTCAGAAAATCCTGGTTGGGACTCACTGAATTTATTCCCAACTGACAACCTATAGTTTGCAAAGTGTGTCCTCCAGTTGCTATCTCAGACCCTTGTTTGTTTCCATCATAGCATTTATAAGAGTTAATAATCATTTCATTAATTGATTATTAGGGAATTAGTTATTTTGTTGTTTTGTTTTCCTTGTTTTGGTGTGTTTTCTCCATAGGCTTCGTGAAGACAGCATGTTTTATTCACTATTTCTCTAGCACCAGCAAAGTGCCTGAAACATAGAAGGCTGTTAATACATATTTAAAGAATAAGCTGTTGTAATGTAATATAAATTTTGCAGCTTCACCAAATGAGTTTAAAACTACAAGTTTTAAAATCATAATTTTAAAGCTGTAAGATAAAATGATAAAAGTGGAAGGGATTAAAATCCATTTGTGTTACTGACTCTGTAAAATGATGGTATTGATTCCAAGTTTACAGGATTGTTGCAAGGATTGATGATGATGATTAAGACAATAATAACTATTGTTTGTGGAATATCTCACTTGCACCATGCAGTTTTGCTGAACTTTATGGGGCTATTGATAAGATCTAATGACATAATGTTAATAGAAAGGGCATAGTGTCAAGAACTGTGAGGGGTTTGTGACTTTACCTTACTAGTCTACCACAGTTCTATGAGTGGTCGCCAGAAAACATGAGATCCCTGGGTGAGAGAAAAGGATTTTATTATTCACAGCAATACTAGTAGCCAGAATATCAACATTTACTTGTATTGGTTCGCCAAGCCCCTCTTCTAACCACAGGGTGATGTGAAGAAGGTCAGATGACACCTGCACAGGCTGGGTGCTGTGTCACATAAGAGAGGGACCCTGAGGCTTTTAGGATGGGCAGTAAGCATGTTTCCCTTTCCTCTGTAGTGGGATACTATTTCTGTCTTACAAATCTGTTTGCTATATGAGCATCCTTGAAAAGATTTTATGCCTTGCTTACAAGACATGCAGAAACCTAGGAGTCCCATAGAAATTTGTCTCCCATCACTTATGACAGTGGTGTACACACAAAGTATACAGTACTTGATATTATCATGTTTAATCTTTTCAGTCATCCTATTTGTAGCATTGTCTCCATTTTATAGAGGAGGACACTGACAGGAAGATGAAAAGAATAACCTAAAGTTACAGAGCAACAAAATTGTAGAGTTGAACTACTAACCCAGCTTTTTGACTCAAAGTTCAAATTCTTTGTATTCTGTAGAATAACCTTTGTAAAATGTTCAGCACCGTATTTGGCTCAGAAACATAATGATGGAGTGTAGATTTCTTTCCCTTTCTCAGTTCCTTTTCATTTAGATTTTGATGTTAAGTTTAAAACATCCAGCTGAAGGGCGGCAGGGTGGCTCAGTTGGTTGAGCATCCGGCTTGATTTCTGCTCAGGTCTTGATCTCAGTGTTTTGAGTTCAAGCCCTGTGTTGGGCTCCACGCTGGGTGTGGAGCCTACTTAAAAAAATAAGTAAATCCAGCGAGTTCATTTTCTTTTTGTTTGTTTTAATTTTGAAAGTCAAAATTATAGAAAAGTTGTGATAATAGTGCAAAGAACTCCATATACTGTTTTATCCAAAGCCACCAATTAACATTTTACCACATTTGCTTCATCATTCTATTTCCTGTATCACGCACGTAGAGTGGGTTTCATAAA